GCTAAGTTGTGAAGAAATCCTTGAAATATTTTACCATAATTCTGACTGTTCATTGGAAATCATGCATATTCCACACTCTGTGGTGATAGTTAAAGAAAACATACGTGATAGGATAATTTAAAAAATATATATTTAAAAGAAATACTAAAATGAAGTTTATTAATACTTATAAAAATCATTCACAAAAATCATAAAAAAGAGATATCGTTTGCATCCAATGCAATTTGCAGCACATCATTGGAAGATGCGGTTGAGGAGCCTGCTCCTTGGGCANTCTACTCAACAGCATGTTACTAATCTCCATTTGCATTTGGAGTGCCATTGGATAAGGCAAGCTCCTTAGCTGCACCGCAACTTGCTTTGAAAATACATCAAATTCATCCTCCCTTTTTCTACACTTCACAACTATGACATCTAGCTTTTCCATAGCCCGTTCAACAGCAGTTTTTTTTCTTCTTGGAGTCTCACATAAGGGAGACTGAGACTGTATCTCCTCACATTCAGCTGTTTCTTCCTCCATCTCAGTGACATTTGGAATCTAAAATTAGAATAATATATCCTAAAAACATATAATAATAGTAATATATATACAAGGTGATTCTAAAAAGATGGGCAAAATTTTAGGAAGTGATAGAACACACCCAAGCAAACAATTTTTATCAAAGAATGCATAGTCGAAAACAAAACGCAAAACCGCCAGTGTTCAAAACAGTGGCGGTTTTGCGTTTTGTTATGTGTGTTCAAAACAGTGGCCAGCAGCGGCTATGCATGCAGTACAACGGCGAAGAAAATATAGGCGAACATTCTGAAACACACCAGGCATATCACAAAATTTCCTTGCAGCGGCCGAAACCTTGGCGACAAGTTCTGCAGATTCAATGGGAGTCTCATACATAAGAGCCTTCATCTGTCCCCACAAAAAGCCAGTTATTTTTTAAAATATTTTTAGACATTATAGCACTCAAATCAGCAGCTGTTATGTATGAATCGTGACAAAAATTTGCATGCGAGCTCTTCTTCTTCCCATAACATGCAAATAATAACTCGCAACAGGAATGGAGCTTTCAAGTTTGCATCAAACAACTTTCCAATTGCACCAGCACCTTTGCGTTTTGTTTTCGACCATGCATTCTTTGATAAAAAAAAACAGTAAAAAAAAAATTCTTTTAAAAACAAATAATTTTTTAAATAAGTATATAAAGTGAAAATTTCTAGCAAATATAAGAAAAAAAAACAATTAGAGATGACATTGGTAAAAATCTGGTATGCCAAAAAGTTATTACTTTAATTGCCGATTCATACTTCATATCATATTATTATAAAAAATTAAAAGAAGGAATAAGAGAAAAATTAAAATCATAATAACATTACATTTAACTGATTTTTATGACTTAATTCACTTTAAAAATTAAAAGAAAACTATTTACACTATAAAAACTTTATGTATTAGATATTTCTATAATCAAAGATTTTTACTTCATTAGATATTCCACTTCGAATTTTCATAGTGGGGCGAAGGAAACTATCTGCTAAACCAAACCAGGCTAATTTTGGCACATATATATCTTCTGCCCCAGTCCCGCTCTTCTTGGAGTTAAGCACTTTTTTCAATTCCTTCGAGTACACAGTTCGAAGAACCTTAATTTTGGTCTTAAGAATTTCTTTGTTGCACTTTAATCCCTGAAGAATATAAAGAAAATAAGTACAAACATTATAAATGTAAATGCAGTAGATAAAACATAACTAGCATTAGATAATTCAATATGATCTGTAACAGCAATTTCAAGTCTTCAAATGGATTTTAAAATGACAATATCAGGAGGGAAAAAAATACGCTAACATTGAGTGGCTATGATTTAATATCCTTCTTTGGTAATATGCTTAGTTATTCCCAGGCTGCTACCTGGAAGTTTCACACTTAGAAATTATTCTACCACTAATTACAATATGAGATTCTTCCTATCAGGAATGCTTTCATTTCTAAAAATTAGATATATGAATTTTACATGACAAAACAATTTAGACCACAGCATTTAAAATTTATGCTTTAAAGTGTGAAAAAAATATTCTATTTCCTCCAGTTTTCTTGCAATGTTGTAAGTTTTACATTCGAAATCATAAATATTCGAAATTTGTGGGGAAACAAAATATTGTAGGTATACACAAATACTAAAATTCTTCTAATTTCAATTATAAAAAGAAAAAAATTCTTGTATCTGCTGAGATTTAATTATTTGTTAATCTTTGTTTTTTATAAGTGATGAAATCTAATTTAACAATGTTTAATGAAAATCTTTTTTTATCTAAATATTGCGGTGACTAATTATTTAAAGGAGAGCATATACCCACCGACCTCCATGCATTAGTTTTCTACAAACAAAAGAATTTAATTTTTAGAAAACAAAAAGAATAATTCTTTACTTACTTTTTCCACTAAATCTTCTGTCATTGCAGCAAACTTGGCATCGCGAATAAGTTTATTAGCGTAATCTTTATTATTAATGTCTCAAAGACAAGGATAAGTTTGAAAAATTTCGAAAAAAATACATATTTCATTGGAATTCCATTTAAAATTAGCCATAGTGAAAAGATTAAAAAATAGCTAAAAGATTAAATTTAAAAGATAAAAATGCAGGCTAAGACAGAATCAACACGTGTATTTTGTTTACTAAATGGTTGCCAGTTTAGGTTGAAAGTATTTGGAAACTACTATATCACACGTTTCAACTAATCTGGTTGCTCCACTAAAGTTGAAAGGTTTCAACTTCAGTTGCTAGTTGAAAGCCGGTTGAAAGCAATCGGGCAACCATCATATGACACGTTTCAACTTCACCGAAACCGCTAGTTGCTTTCAACTAGGTTGCCTCGTGTCATATAGCCTTTTGGATATTCATGGGCAAAATTCTGTATTCATGAAATTTAAATAGTTCTTCAATATTTTGATAACTGTCAATTAATGGCCTATTATATTTTGGAGAACTTCGTGAATTTATATTTCCCAGGCAAGATTGAGTTCTATTTTGGAAGATTAAAATTGCCACTCCAGTGTAGGAACGAAAATCAGTTTAGAACTGCTTTTGAGTCTTCGGCCCACGGACTATTGAGGCAGTGGGAGTTTCGGGGATTACACAAACAATTACTCGAGTCACAGCGGGTCGTTGCAGATGACTGACTAAGTCGCTAACTAACTGATCTTCGGGCGGTCTCGCTTGTATTTATACCTACCTGCAAGGATTGTTCGGGAATTGGATTTTTCCGGTTCTTTCGAGAAAACAGAACAATGAATCGAAAATGCGAGAGTGTCTGGAAGTTTCGAGCGAAGATGAGTCATATGTTTAGGTCGGACGGATTTGTCCAGAATACTATTGTGTTTTGAATATCGCCGCAGGTAGTTTTTATGCGGGTCGTCACATTACGAAGTAAGAACGCGTTCAAACATTCTCACGACGGCACTCTTAAACAGGCCGGATTAAACCTTTCCGCGGGTCGTAGTTTCCCCATCACTGGTATACATAGACAACATATGTATGAACGTACGTGAAAAAATTTCCATACGTATGCATGCATTTATGTACGTAACTGTAATACACTGTATACATTTGCAATAATAGTACGTATATACAATGTACGTATGTAAATACACTGTACGTATTTACGTACAATATGTAAGATTGTTGTTTATAGGTACACTATATGTACATAGTTGCGCAAATAAAATGCATGCATGTACATTTACATGAATATAGATATATGATGGTTTGTACACGCAACATATGTACTTATATAGCTATATACTTTGTTATATAAGTACAATATGATGCACATTGTATGGATGTACGTATGTACATACAATGTATACGTAAACGTTGTTGTTCCTTATTCTCCAATTGTCTGACGAAGTCAGACTAGATCCAATAGGTTGTTGACTCTCAAAAAGTCGATGACAAGAAGTGGATTAGCGTATAAGTCCTCCTTGGAAAGGCCCAAGCAGTCAAGGATATAACAAGTTAACAAGGAAATAATACGTAAACGTAATTACATAGTACATGCATTCAAAAAATTATAACAGTAAAGTTATTTTAACAATACTATTTTTAAATATAAAAGATGGGGTTATCCGATAAAATCTACCCGATTTAATTACATTCGAAACTGGGAAAAATGGCATATTATTCCATCTGCACCTTGTTTTATTCGTATCACGACCTGCGACACAATTATAACCATGTTTTGCCAACTTTCTGCAGCAGCCCACTAGCAAACAAAATTCAAAGAAACTTCTAATTCAAAGAGTATATTTCTCCAGGCAAACCTCCATTTTTTTAAAGAATCCATTTGGTGCCTTCGCAATTGTATTTGGTGAGACAGACCATAATTGAGAAATATATCCTTAATTTTGAAATACTTTTTTTTAAATTATTTAAAAGTGGTAGCACAAGTTTGTGATTATTAACTTTCATTTCAGAGAAACAAAGTAACTGTAAAATATTAATATTTGAAATTAAAGCTTGGTACTTTTATAAATAATGAATTTGTATGATTCAAAAGTATACGGGTTGCAAATAAAAGTAAATTTGTTTCATAAGGTAAAAAATGGGTGTCATTTTTTTTAAAAACATTTGAAGCAGATTAACTGTTATTTCCAATCTGTGTATTTCTTTAAATTAATGAATTTTTTGTTTAAAATTAAATAATATTTTGCTGCTTCAGTATCTTAGGATTATTTATTTAACATTTAATAAATTAATTATAAATATCTGCATGGTAGAAATAAATATAATACCAATTTTTTTATGTTTTACTAATTTAGAAAATTTTTTACAGTTATAATGGGTTAAAGTAATAATTATGTAGGAGTATTTTGAGAATAAATAAATTTTAGTAATTATTTGGTGTTCAAATATTTTAATATAACTAATAAAATACTTATGTATTTGAAATATATAATCATATTGGTTTTCTTAAGCTTTAATTGTGTTGTTTACAGTCCAATTTGCAAAACTTGAAATTGTTCATGGTGATATAATTGCAAAGCTAGTTAAATGTCTTTACTTAAGTTTGCACTTATTAATTTCTATGAATCAGAGTTAAGTAGTTATTCAAAATGTCTAAGAGTGAACTATTCTTCATAAGCCTTAAATGTTGCATTATCTTCCAGGTTCCGAACACTGAGGAGGAATGGTCTGCTGTGGCCAAACGATTTACAATGGCATGGAATTTTCCCAAGTGTTGTGGTGCCATAGATGGCAAACATATTCAAATAAAGAGGCCGGCAAACACAGTAGCCGAATTTCACAATTACAAAGGAACTTATAGTATTGTTCTGTTTGCTCTCGTAGATGCAGATTATTGTTTCAAGTATGTAAACGTTGGAGCCAACGGGAGAGCAAATGACAGCTCTATATTTATAAATTCAGACTTGAATGCTGCTTTAGAAAGCGGAAAATTGAAAATGCCTCCTGGCTCTGTTATTGTTGCAGACGACGCTTTTCCTTTAAGGACAAATCTAAT